ATTCAAATTAATTCACATTTAATTCAAGTGTTGGCACAAAAATGGATAAGAATATGTCTTATAGTCCAGATTCTCCTGAATGCACCATTATGAGGCCTGTGAAGGGATGCATTCAAATAAATAGGATTTAAGCCCTCCAGGTTGTTGACGAGGTGAGAAAACACTGACATAAAACGAGCTTCTGTATAACCTGAATACAACAAGAATGAAAGCGATCCTTTTAAATCAGGAAATAAACTATTTAATCAGCACCTTTCTGTTAGAATTACTCACTTTAGTATAACATGTTCTAACTTATGTATCATATTTTATACGTACGGTTTCTGAAATGTTTTGCCTCTGACACCTTTTGCATCATTTAATGGTAAAAACTTTGCTCAAAATCCTATTTTACACAATCAGATATACCTGATAACAGGGGGCAGAAGACTACACAAAGTAGTTTTATTCTCAGGCTTCCAACTAAAGAATCAGGCTAACATTTCTGATGAAGAACGCTTTGATTTGAAGCTCACAGATTCCCACCAAGACGCTGATCGTTGTCTTTGCCACGAAAAATCCAATTCAACCCTTTAATTCTTTAACCCAAAAATGCCAAATGTATTACATTTGATACATACGGTTTCTGAATTATTTTGGATGTGAGACTTTTTGCATCATTCAGTGGTAAAAGCTTTGCTCAAACCCCTGTTGTACACATTCAGATATACCTGATAACAGCCAGTAGAAGACTACACCAAAATACATTTTTGACTTACTGCATGCTAATTTGATCAAAATAATTCCTGTTTTTTTTCTTCATATGTTGTTGAGGGGCCAAAGAAAGACTTCAGACAAAAAAAACAACAATATTCTTCCTATTTTTCTTGGGTCAGACTTTAAAGGGTTAACTTCCACTTTGTTTCTTTGTCAGATCAAAGCCACCAGAGAGGAGTCAGAGTAGGAGCGGCTACCTTTGGATCAGGCTTTAAAGGGTTAACTTCCACTTTGTTTCTTTATCAGATCAAAGCCCGGGGTGGGAGGGCTACCTGTGGGCTGGGGGAAGGCGTTGTCCAGGCCTTTGCTGAGCTGATCCTGCGTGGGGGAACCGGGGGCCGACATCCGGGACCCGTCCACCTGCCGCTCACGCACAGCCAGCTCCTGCCGCAGGTCTGAGGAGCCAGAGAGACGTTAGCATTCGGCTATAATTACTCACTTTAGCATTATATGCTAACACATGATCTATGTTAATTACTGGTTGTTTTATTTTCTCTTAGAACTATATTTTGGGTTGGAGTTTCTGGCTGTTTCCTTTCTTTCTTTTTATTTTTCTGTTTCACCCATCCACCTTTAGGTCAACACAAACAAACACACCATTTGTTACCACATTCCTGTCATCTGCATGAATTAGGACCTGGCCTGTTCATGCCCCAGTGCTAACTAGCCTATAGGACTCAGTTATGTCCAGTCCTCCTGTTAGAATTTGGTTATAATTACTCACTTTAGCATAGTATGCTACTATCACAAGATCTATGTAAAATGACTGATTGTTTTATTTCCTTTGTTACCACATTCTAATGTTATCTACATGAATTAAGACCTGGCCTGTTCATGCCAAGAGGTAACTAGCCAATAGAACTCAGTTATGTCCAGTCCTCCTGTTAGCATTTGGCTATAAATACTCACTTTAGCATAGTATGCTATCACATGATCCATGTAAATTACTGATTGTTTTATTTTATTTTATAACTATAACACAGACTCTCTTATCTCTCTTTTCTTTCTCTGTTGCATTAGATCCACCTTTAGGTCAACGCAAACACACACCATTTGTTACCACATTCCTGTCATCTGCATGAATTAGGACCTGGCCTGTTCGTGCCCAGAGGTAACTGGCCAATAGGACTTGGTTGTGTCCAGTCCTCCTTTGAGGAGGCGGATGGAGCCCAGGAGATAATGCCCATCACCCAGATCTCAGGGCTCTTTGCCCACTGAGACCCAGAGAGAGGTTTTAGTCTGTGATATAGTATATATAAGTAAAGTCTCACCTCTGGCTTCATCCTTCAGCCTCTGCACGGACACCAGGAGGGACTCTTTCTCGTCCAGCTCGCTCTCCAGGAAGGCGTTCCTCTCGATGGCCTGGTTCAGGCGCTGCTCGAAGGTCTCCAGAGACACGATGGTGGCCCTGAGGAAACCAGCTCCCATTAGTTATGAAAAAACAGTTCCTTCCATCAAACCCGTCTGGATGCAGACTGCAGGAAGCCAAGGATGGAGATCCAACTCCGCCCACATCCAAGTCGGCCATTTTGATTAGGTCACCAATAGGAAGATCCCAGGCAAGAAAATCGTAATTGCTTCATGGCAATATAGACATTAATTTAAAAATAGTGCAATTAATCTTGCAAACACTGAATTAAACTCTATCCATAATATTATGTTAAAATAGTGGATGTTAAATAGGTTTTTACAATAAGTCCAAACAAGTTGAACCAAAAAACATTTATTTCTCACAATTATTATTTATAAATATTATTTTATCTGTCTTTCTCTTTAGGGACCTCCTTCTCCTGCCTCAGGCTAAAGTAGCAGAAGGATCTTGGAAATGTCTCAGGAAATATTTTGTGTAAATCTGACAGCTTAAATCTGATCGTTGCGAGTAAATAAAAAAAAACAATTACCAAAAAGTGGTACAAAGAAGCCCCCCCCCCATACAAAGAGGACTTGCGGGAAATTGTGAAGGACATACACGTCATGAAGGACTTGACCCACAGAATAAAAAAAAAGATGGACTCCTGTGTGGAAAAATGGACAAACTGGATTACTTAGTGACTAATTGAACATGTGGGACATTGTTTACCAGCTCGAGTTATATCCCAATCCGGACAGTATATAGTTTTGTTTATGTTCTGTCTTTGTTTTTGTGTTTTACTCTCTTGACTCTTGACTTTTCCGCTCCTTTTTTTTTTTGCACACCTTGTAATTGTCAATTGTCAAGAAAAATAAAGTATAAAGTAGCAGAAGGATGAACGGGCTCCCAAAGGGATCCCAAATGTTCTAAAAAGTCTCCACTGGTTCCTGACAGAGTTCCTGGTCTTTTCCAGGCTCGGGCATTATGTCTGAAAGCAGCTCCTTATGCTCCGTAACGGATCGATTCCTCCGTGAGAAAAGAGTATTGATCCACATCCAATTACAGCAGCCGGAGGTGGGATGAGTTTGAACCGTTTGGCTTCGGTCGATTGTGGGTGATGAATTTCCCCAGCTGTAGACAACAGCTCCCATTTTATCACCATAAAGAAGAAAGGTCAACCAGGGAAATGACAAAGTGCCCAAAACGGGGTTTCAGAGGAACAAACACCATCAGGATGTCAACTTTCCTGGTTGATTTTAGAATTCAGGTTGGCTTGTAATACAACAAAACTTTTTAGAAACACTGTCTATTCTTTTCAAGCTGTTTTCTGTATATATACAAATATTTTTATTGGGTTTTGCACTTATAAAACAATGAACAATTCCCCAAACAGCAACCCTAACATAAAGAATTACAAGGTGACAATAATAACACACACAAAAAAAATAGAATAAAATAAAATAATAAAAACCTGACAAGTTACAGAGTTACAGAGCCTGTGAATCAATGATGTCCCAGTATTTCCAGCAGGGAACTGTAAGTTAAAATAATTTAGAAATGGCTGCCAGACCTTATAAAATCTCTGGGTTGAACCCCAGATCGTGTGTTTCAAGTGTGATATTACATCCTCAACCTTCAACCTGTTTCCTTATTTAACCAAATAGTCAGATGTGATCGGGTTCATTCTGATGTGACCAATCAGCCAATGGGGGTCAGATGATGTCACCATGTCCAAAATCAAACGCCTTAAAGAGAACTGTTATTTATCCTGCTATCAGTTATTGGAATAGTCGCCCACTGAATATACGTGAACTGAATAGTAAAGTATCTTTTAATCATTACTTGAAAATGCACTATTTAAATTTGTGAGTAGAGAATTAACTGTATGAAAGTGAGAATTAATAGATATGAAAGTAATAACTTCTTCAATTGATTTCTGAAGATGTCTATAAGAATCTCTACAATGTATAATTAAGTTATTTTTTGTATTGTAGACCCCAGAAAGACAATTTCGTCCCACTTTTGGTGACAGTTAACAGGGATCTTTTTAACAATAAACAACCCAGGTAAGAGGAAGGGATCCTAAAAGTATTTTTCTGGATCTGGAAGGCGTTTCTCCTCTAATCCTAAAGCCTTTTTGCTTTCTAAACACGGTGTGACTTCTCAAACTTCTCAGACTGACTCCTGGTAGCTCACAGCCCACATGAGGGACATTTCTGCTGCTGGGAGGGAGTCAAACGCACCTTTTGGCCCTCTCCAGGTCGTCGTTGGACTGCTCCAGCTCGCGGACGTACTTGTGGAGCTGCTCCCTGACGCTGCGGGTCTGGCCCAGGTCGTCCTCCAGGAGGGAGATCTGCTTGTGGCTCTGCGAGCACTGGCGCTCCAGCTTATCCTGGAACAGAAGAGGAGCAAACATCAGACCGGAGGAGAGAAGATCAGAGGCTAAATCAACTCAACTCAACTCAACTTTATTTATAAAGCGCTTTCAGTCAGCCAAAGCTAAAATCAAAGCGCTGTACAGGCCGTTTGAGCAGATCATAAAACACAATTATCACCTCCTCACAAGACAAACTCAAAGATTAAAAAAACAGTAAGGGCAAAAAAAATGAAAATAAGAAAAAACAAAACCAAGCCAAAAACGCCTGGCTAAAGACTGCAGGAAGCCAAGGATGGAGATCCAACCCCGCCCACATCCAAGTCGGCCATTTTGATAAGGTCACCAATAGGAAGATCCCAGGCAAGAAAATCCTAATTGCTTCATGACAATATACATCAATTTAAAGATACTGAAATTAATCTTGCAAACACTGAATTAAACTCTATACATATTATTTTGTTAAAATAGTGTATGTTAAATAGGTTTGTACAATAAGTCCAAACAAGTTTAACCAAAAAAATATTTATTTCTCACAATTATGAAGGGTCAGGGTTAGGTTTAGGGTCAGGATTAGAGTTAGGGTTATGGTTAGGATCAGAGTCAGGGTCAGGGTTAGGGATAGGTTTAGGGTCAGGATCAGGTTACTGATTAGGGTTAGGATCGAGGGTTAGGACATAGGGTTAGGTTTAGGGTCAGGATTAGGGTTAGGACATCGTTTATCTTCTGATTTCGTATAGACAGTAAAGTTTCGTTTCCACCTCAGAAAGCTGCTAGTCACATGACCCATCTGTATATTCTGGTTTTTGCTTTATTGTTCCACGATTCTATTAATTATATATATAAATAAAGTAAAAATTGTACATTTATTTTGACAAAATCTTTGAGAAATCACATGTGGAAAGCCGGTTTTGACCTAGAAACCAAATCCTGGCTCCATATAACATGTCATTAATGTGGTTATGATCCTTTTATAACAAAAGAATCATCTCTGTATAAGAGTTAAAAAGGCCATTTTAAATGTCCAGGACTCAATTTGAACTCTTCCCATCTGTATATTATGCTTTTTGCTTTATTGTTCCACGATTCTATGAATTATATATATAAATAAAATAAAAAGGGAAAGGGAAAAAAATTAACCACTTTCCTTCTGGTAATTATGGAGTGAGAATGAGAGCCTGATGAATATTAATGAGCCTCCCCGATAGGCTGCAGAGCAGGTGGTGACATTTGAAAAGCGGTGAGGTTTCCATCAGCAGTTATATTTGCAAATGGACCCATAACGAGATATACGTCCCATTCTGAGGCCGTCTGGGGCTGCTGTGCCTGAGAAAAGGCTTCAGTTTGGGGGTAATTTGCATTTCGGGCTGACTTTTGCATCTGCTTTGCCTCCTGGACGCATGCCTGACTTAGCAAGCTAACATAAAGATGTGAAATATTCATATCCAGAGTAAACATGAAGGCATGCCGTATCTCACTGCGATGATGTCATTCCCAACTAAGCATGCAAAAAATCTGATTATGGAGAAAAAGAGAAGATTTTTCCCTCACTTGATAGTTAAACACACAGTTAATGCAGCAAGTCAATTGGAAGTGTACATTTGCAAACCAAAAAAAAAGTAAATAATGTGTTTACTGCTTTTCCAAACCATCAGCTACGAAATGGCTTTCAACCATTGTTTGCCCTCTTGCTTGATCAATAGTTGTGGCCAATTAAAAAATAAAAATCTAATTCTGGATTAATCCTTGCCTAAATCACATATTTAGTATGAAAAACCAAATTGAGGCATCTCAATATCATAATATGATATAATATGATATATCATAATGCTTATTAATGCGTTTACAAAAATATTTACAGCAGATGAAGTTATCCTGACTTTTTCACTTTGCTTATTTAATTAAAGAAAAATCTAAAATCTCTATTCATTTAACACATAAGTGATGCAAATACTAATCTCTTATAAAGATTTAGCTCTGATTGCTAAACTTCATGCTGTTTATTACATATCTCTAGAAACAGAATTATTACCTTGTGAAATATGCCTACTTATTACGAATCTGTATATCACTTTTAATTAGGAAAAATAAATAATTTTAGGCCCCCTAGCTGGGTCTTTTGTTAGTTAATCTGAGTACTTTTTCCACAATGAATACGTCATTCTAACTTTCTGTAAGCTTTTGGAGAGACCCACCTCGTTATATCAGAATCAGAATCAGAATCAGAATCAGAATTAGGTTTATTGCCAAGTAGGTTTTTCACCTACAAGGATTTTGTATCAACAATTTGAATGTTTGTGAGACAAAACAAACATGTTAATCATCATTACTGTCCTAAAAATGTTATCATGAACTCCTCTGACCACATAAAAGCTCTGGAGGCAGAGCAGGATCACATGAACCTTTGTTTTTGCTCTGTTTTGGCCGTTACCTTCAGCGTTTCGGCCTCGTTCCTGATTCTCTGGTTCTCGGCCTGCAGGTCTCTGACTCGATGCTCGGCCTGACCCAGCTGAGCCTCCAGCTCCGCCTCCAGCTCCCGGCTGCCCTCCTGGAACTCCAGCAGCTCCTCCCGAGCCTCCTCACAGCTAAGAGACGCCATCGGGACACAAGTCGTGGCCGAGGCAGATGGTAAACTCTTTATTCAAAGTAAAATATTAAAATTTAAAGATATTGTTTATAGGAGTTTGCATGTTCTCCCTGTGTCTGCGTGGGTTCTCTCCGGGTTCTCCGGCTTCCTCCCACAGTCCAAAAACCTGCATGTTAGGCTGATTGGAGATGGGGGAAATTGCCCTTAGGAGTGAATGTGAGTGTGAGTGGTTGTGGGTCCTTGTGTGTCTCTGTGTGTCCCTGTGATGGACTGGGGACTGTCCAGGGTGTACCCTGCCTCTCGCCCGTTGACCACTGGGATAGGCTCCAGTTCCCCCCGCGACCCCATCAGGGAATAAGCGGTATTGATAATGGATGGATGGATGGATATTGTTTATACAAAAATAGTGGAAATAATGTATAAAGCAGTGTTTTCCAACCACTGGTCCTCGGTACACTAGTGTGCCGTTAGTGATGGTCAGGTGTGCCGTAGAAAATCCTCCTATTTCACCTAACTAGTTTAAAAAAAAATTTTGATAAGGAATTAATTTTCTGCAAATAATATTCCATTTTTGAGTGTCTGTGCTGTTCTAGTGACTGGTGGCGTAATCATGTAATAATTCCTTATGACTAGATTTTGTATATAATTTTGTTTATTGAAGTGGACATGTTAAGTGCAATTTGAAAGAAGAAATATAAAATATGATAAAAAATACATTTTTGTGTTTATTTGATTCCTATTCAAGACACTTAAGATAAGATAAGAATAACTATAGTGTTACTATAGGCGGCTACAGATTTGTTTAACATTTTTGGTTGGTGGCCTCGAGACTTTTTCAATGAAAAACTGTATCTTGGCTCAAAAAAGGTTGAAAAACACTGGTATAAAGCATTGAATAAAAGTCTTCCTTCTGGTATTCAGAAATTACTTAAGTTAAGAGAAAATAAATATAATTTGCGAGGTTTGTTTATATTTGAATGTGCAAAAGAGAAAAGTCAGATAAAGTCTAGATGTGTTTCAGTTATTGGTGTGAAACTGTGGAATGAATTGAATGATGAATTTAAGTTATGTCCTTTCTTCAATAAAGTTGCTTTCACATATAAATAAAGTCGAAATATGAAGCTTGCCTTCACTAAATGACATCTACGCTCTGTACGGTAACATTTTAAACAAAAAAAATGAAGAACAGCTCCACACAAATAGCGTTCTTGCTATGAGAAACATCCCTTTGTGAATCTAATTTCCCATCTTTGTACCAGCTTTTAAATTATACTCATCAATAACAGGTTTCCTCAGCAAATACTGGAAAAGTCAACCTGTGAGGGTGAAATAAATTAGGTTCCCCCCCCAAAAACTAGAGTTTTAGGTAGATTCTTTCAGAATGTGTGTAAAAAACGAACTGGGACTCGTTCACAGCCCAGAGGATTTTTCAAAATGCTCATTTGGTTTCCGTTTTTTTGAGGTGTCCACCAACCAATCACGAGCCTAAAGGGCCGTTGTTCAGGTGGGATCTGTTTACCTCATAAGCATAAAGGATTAACCAGAAAGTGAATCTCTGCTGCAGGTCATGTGACCACAGACTAAAAATGGCATCCTGTGGCACACAGCCAGAAAACCCATTTGTCCTGAAGGGCACAGGCCCAGATCTATGTTTGTCCTCTTTGTTTCTGTTACTCAGCGTTCGGAAACACCCCCAAGTAGCACAAGATTTTAGCACAAGAGTTTGAAAGAGTTTTGGAATCGCTGGTGGCTGTTTCTGGGCTCCAGACTTTGTCTTAAAAGCAGCTTTAAAATCAGCATGAACACGTGAAATGTTTAGATTTCTGTTTCCATGATAAAATGTAACAGATAAAAAACATTTAAACTATGTTAGCATAGCTGTTTTTTAGGTTTCTAACATCAAAATGGTTCAAATAATGTAACTAGCCTTATTTCAGAAATATTTTCCTACATTTTATTCCAATCGTATATATATATATACGATTGGAATAAAAAGCTAATTTAATTAATTAATTAGCTAAAGCTAATTAAAGCTAATTAAACCCTGTTAAGTTGAGCTAACAGCAGAGTTTAAGTTTATAAAGAGGGAAAAACCCAAATTGAGCTCCTCTGGCTGCTTTTTTATTTTAATTTTTTCTGTTTTCATTCAGCTTTAATGAATCTCTTCTGCTTTATTCTGTCTGAAAGCCGAACTGCAGAGCAGAACCCTATTTTTTTCAAAGAAAGCTTCCCATGTAGGTTTGGGGAGTTTAAAGCAACACAATGGAGCTTTTCTGGAGGAGAAATGTCTTTTTTTTAAGTGGTTACATGACATGAGCCCCTCCTGATATTAAAACCTCCCAGGTGGCTCCTCCTGATCATTATGTGGAAACTCTTACATAAGTGGGTGGACTTTTGAACAAACAAGAGTTTCCACAGAATGAAGTTACCTGTCACAGAGTCACATTTCAGCTAGCTTTGGATAATAAACCGATTCCACTAAATCCGCCCAGACAGACACGGGGCTCTTTTGTGCTTTTGTGACACCTGAGCTGTGGCTTTGGGGAGAAGAGAGAGGTTTTCACTGCTATTCTCACAGAAAAGAGCCAACCGATATGCCAACACTCCTTTTTTTAATTGAAAACGCAGAACTGAGGAGGCAGCAGACAAAGCATTCCTCCACCGGCTCGTCATTAGAGCCCATATCAGCTTTCTGCCCAAGAAAAAAGGAGCAATTCAGCAAGAAAAATGTGTAAAAATTAGGGAAGTGAAGGTTGTGACAGAATTATATGTGCTGTATTTACTTGGATTTGATCAGATTATTGTGTTTTGGGAGCCGGAGGAGCAGCGATGTGGTCAAAACTCCAAAGTTTTCCCCTAAAAACTGAACCGAGGAGCGAGAAAAAGCTGCAAACAAAACTTAGCAGAGAGTTAGAATGACAAAAAACAACACAAACAGCTGCCTGATGAGGAAGAAATGACAACCAGGAGAATAAAGTGATAACAAAATGCATGAAAAAGACAAGGCGACTGGACAAGAGTGGAGGGAAAATGGACAAATTGCACAGAAGGAGGAAAAAAATACAACCGAAAATAATTAGACTGAAGGCAGATAACAGAAATTTACCAAAACAAAACACAATATGAAGATATAAAGGAAGACGCCCAAATAGCCACAACACAAATAACAGGACACGTTATGATATTTGATCAAAACATCAATATTTCCATGTTATTTAATTTGAATCATCATTTGAGGAACTCTTTTAATTATGGTTAGAATATTAACTGTAAAGAAGCTGTTTTCCAGCTACATACCCTTTCTTATATTTGAGGGAAAGAGCCTTCCAAAAGTCAATCTCCTCGTCCTTTGAGGAGAACTTGGGTATCATGTCCATATCCATGGCAAAACAGAAATCTATAGGAGGAAAATCAGAAACAGAGAAGATTAAAACACATTTGTTGGACTGATATAAAAGGAAACCTTCAGCTTATAAAGGGTCAGCAACTCCTGCATAGCATCAGACAGTTAGTTTTTGTCTTTTTAGAGTGTTAATTCTCAGGAACAGCTGCTTTCAGACAAAAAAAAAAAAGAGTTCCAGTTTGATTAATGAGTTTACATATGAAGAAAAGTGGCCCGGTCCGACCTAAATATCACAACAGAGAAAATGCTGCTGCAGCTGGTTTTTAACCACATTAATCAGCCCACAAAAAACAGAACAAGGCGACTCCTTCATCTTTCATCGTTTGTGAGCAGGTTGGACGACAAACATTTAACTCTCACGTTGTTGAACAGCATATTCTTGATGGGTATTGTTGGCGTCTCATGCTAAAGAGATAAAGCCAACAAAAAGGGGAAGTACAATTGTGTTTCCCGAAGCTTCAAAGCCTCCAGGTAAGATAAAAAAAAAGGGATTGGTTTTCTTTGTGAAGGAGGATCACTGATATTAAAGAAACACAACACATGTCTCACTCTGTGAGAATCTGCCTAGTAACACATGATGAAACAAAAATAACACTTAGGTGTTCATGAAAAAGGCATTTTTAGAAAAACAGAAATAACAACAACCTACAAAATGTGCCACTGAAAGAAGTCTATCCTGACTTCTGACTTTTATAACATCCTTAAAATACCAACACAGATCTATTTCTGACACGTGCTGAATAATTCAGCGTCAAATTACGCCTTAAAAGCGTCAATTACAGCAGAGATAAGACATAAACACACGGTATTCTGACCTATTCATACACATATTAATTTAATGTATACAAGATGGGTTGACACATGGACATTAAGTCGGATTAAAGAGATGTAAAGAGGTCATGTGGCCACAATGTATTTTTAGACAGATGACCGCGTTAAGCAATGATCTGAGAATATAGGAAATAAATAATAAAACGCCCATCTCTGAGAGGAAGCTTAGGAAAAATAATCTACAAACAAAACTGCATTTGCACGAGCAAACCCAATAAAAACAAGACTGGAAAAGGTCTAACGAGTGTTTTCCCACAGAGGATGCCCAGTTTAGCTGTCAGGACTGGGGGTGTAAACTGTAAACAACCCCCCCCCCCCCCCGGACAGGTGTTTCCGGGGCTGTTACCCCCCCAGAAGGGGGTCAAAACGGCCGTACCTGGTCATCGCCTCCGACGGGGATGCTGGTCAGTCCATCAGTCCATCCTCGGAGCCCGGGATGGTCCTTCCCCTGCTGGGCTCAGCCCCGCGCGCCCTTAAAGGGACACACACCCTTATTTTGAAAACATGAACGCGCATACACCACATTCACCTCAACCTCACACCTTATAAAAGGAGTAAAGCTGCAGGAAAAAAGCAGGAAAAAAGCAGGAAATAACGATTATTATTCATACCGAAAAAAATAAGTAATTAAGTGTGATTAAATAATGTAAAAGAAAAAAAAACCGATGCAAAAGAAAAACATTGATGAGTTTATTAAAGATTTAAATGATTGGGGTTGGAGATACTATTGATCACTTTTACATATCATGGCACAGAAAGAAATTATTTTAAAATAATGAATTAATATGAAAAACTCTGTTTAAGGATTTCTGTCATTGTTTTGTCTCTTCGGTTTCATTGCTGCGCAAAACCTGCGCAAACAACCCAGTTTGTGTTAAAATAGCACCACCTGCCGGCAACCTACTGGAAAAGCCAGTTGTAATGTTGTATTTCATTCATAAAACCCATTTTATAATTGTTCATTCTATTAATTCCCACCAAAATTGTCCTACAGAGATATGAAAGGGACATTATACACTGTATATCACCTAATCACAACACATGGGCAATGGTTGGGTCAACTTTGAACTCAAAATCAAGTTAATCCAATTAAGTTGTCCAACTAATTGTATAATAAAATGAAAATCCAATCATATTTTGGTCATACCATACCTTAGTTTTTTTATTTTCATTGTTAATCAATCATACTGTATTGTACTAATATTTATATCAACACATTACAAAACTTGTCTTTGGAGCTATATTGAATTCCACACTGTGTATCATTGCACACCTGATGACAAATTTATCGGATGATTTTTCAGATAATACTTAATATCTACTAATAAATAGTAATAGTAAGTTTTAGACTCTTGCTTTTACTCTAAGCACAGTTTTTAATTGAACCACAATAGACACTCTGAAATTATTTCAAATATAAAAAAAGACAGATTTGAGACATTAAACTAAAATCGATAAGTCAAGTAAAATGTTTTATTTAGGGTAAATATTCATCAGTCTGAAAATGTTTTCAAATGAATCTCATAAAACTAAAGTTTACGTTGTTTTGCTAATATAGCTGGTTTAGCTAGTTTATGCTTTTTTCCCCTCCAACGGTCACCTGCGTGAAAACTACGTGATGACGCAGGACGTACGGTGTTGGTGCATGTTGCCGTGGTAACGGAAGAGCACAATAAACCCGACTCCCGGTTTGAGTCATGAATACCTCGCAGGAACTAAAAAGTTTTTCCTTAAATTCAGGCAAAGACTGGGAGAAAGAAGAGGAAGACAGGATAACTTTGTATGACGCGATGTATGGGGAAAAAAGAGAGGTTTGTGCTAAAACTGAGCATAGCTAATAGACCAAAACACGGTAAACCTATGAGCACCCATAATGTGGGAGTTTCCTGAACACATCATCATGCACTGAAAGTAGTACGTTGATTAAACATCTGCTAATGGGCGTTTAAAAGTAGCTCATAACGTCGATTTGTCCGGTTAAACTCAGCTTTATGCTCTAATGAAGATGCTTGAAGTCATATTAAAATGACAAAAGCGTTACTCTAATTAATCTTAATAGGAAATATCCCTTGGGTATATTCAAGCAGGGAACTACAGTTAGCTTCAGTTTAAAATGTCAATTTTTTCATCTTTTTACTGTCAACTTACTATGGAGACTGTTCCAGTGATTATGGCTGCAACTTCAGAGAAGAAAGTGTTCATCAACAATCTAAAATTCAATCAAATCCAAACTTTTCTCTGCTGTAAAGTGCTGCAGGCTTGGTTTTGGAAAACCTAAAAGGCCTCAGGTTTCTGGGATAGTGGCTGTTCAAAACATCCATGTTGGATTTTACTTTAAATCTTAGCTTGAGTGGGGTTCAGACACAGATATACCAACTCTGAACAGCTCTTTCAAAGCATTTATTGGAAAAGTGAGGAAATAATACATAAAAATTAGTAGAATTCATGATCTCACAATGTAAAATGGCTTAATATTTCAGATGTGTTTTATTTGTCTTAATTGGATGTTTGTATTGTTGCTGCTCGCATGGAAATCCTCAGACCTTTCTCCTCCGTTTCCACAGAATATCGTGCTACAGCGGCTGGTGGTGGTCGCCCGGCTGCCCCCCGACTCTGCTGATGGGACCCAACTGGGAGGTCTGCCAGCATCCATTACAAAGACTTCCAGTCTAATCAGATTATTTCTCCTGTAAGGTAGCTGGGAAAGGATGAAGTCCAGGCTATATTAGCTAATGCTAAGTGTTTTTAGGAAAGGCCTGAATGACAAAGCTACACATAATTCTTGTGCCACTCCTATGTTGTGGATAATTTTTTTCAAATGTGGTTCTGAGGAATAGTTTTCAAAGCATTTCGAAGGTGTTTTTGAGTTTTCTTTGGATATTCTTAGCTTTTTCTCACATTTTAAGTCTACGTTTTGTGTTTTTTGTTTTCTTAACCACTTGACTATGACTGAAATAGTAGAAAAAAGACCCCTAACCAAAGGGATGGACCCATGTAGCCAAGCAGCAGTTTAAAGTGGATCATTTAGGCTCTTTATAACCAGCAGCCTGTCACAAAGACGCATCATTTATTCGCATTTCATTAGCTGATCGGTGAAAAAGGGCAAAGAAAACACAGTCTGACAGACAGGAAACAGGATTTCTGAGGATTCCCAAAGAGTCCTGAAAACGTTGTGCTGGAGAATAAAGGACCAAATGTTCACTTCAGTCCTATTTATAATGGTTCAAACCGTTTGTGCGATTTAAAACTGTAAAACGGTGCACGTTTGCCTGGCCAAAGCTAAAGAAAGAGGAGCTCCAGCTGCAGAGAGGCTGACGTTGAGTGAACAGAAGCAGTTTTTTGGGGGGTTCAAAGCAAACTAAAGACCTGCCGTGTTGTTTGTTTCCAGCTCACTGGGAGGACCTGACTTTCCAACTGGGTCGGGCCCACCGATGGGACCAGATCACGGGCCTGCTGCTGGTTTATCCAGCCTGTCTTCTCCACGTCATCGAGGTCTTTTCCCTGCAGATTAGCATGCCCACACAGTTCATTTAGTCGTTTCTTACCCCCCTTTTTTTTTTTTTTTAACATTTATTTATTGATTTTAACAGGAGAACAAGAAACATACATATATACATTTACAATTACTTAAACTAGACCAGACAAAAACCCAAAGGACATACACACAAGGTGGAGAGAAAAAAGAAAAAAGAAAAAAAAAGGGGGGGACCCTCAGCAGACTAACCTACATAAACATCAGTTTGCCTCACCATATGGCCTTATAACCAATCCTCTTTCCATCCATCAAGTTGGATATCATTTTGACACAGCCAAGTGTAAAAGACAGACCAAACCACCCAAACTTTATCAAGCTTATTCTTAGTAAAATAACTGATTTTCTCAAGTGCAAAGTAGAACGTCATTTGCGTGATACATTGTGAAATTCCACATAATGCCCCTTTCTTCCAAGAGAGTGCAATGCAGCGTTTTGCTTCCAAAAAGGAGACATTAAGTAAGGATCTCAAGTTGTTAGGGATAATAAAGTCTTCAGGGTAAATATTCAAGATGCACATTTTAGGATTCAAAGGAACCTTTTTACCAATCATCTGACCTATCACAATCAATACATCCTTCCAAAACGCCATCTAACTCTCTTTTTGACTTTCTTCTTTTCCCGCAGTCGTCCAGAGAGATTCTGATTGCTGTTTTGAAAGACCTGCAGCTCATGCAACAGCAGCCAGAGCGGTAATATTCCAGCCTCTTATCACAGAGCCGGCAGCTGTTTGGGTTCCTCTCATGAATAGACGCTTCATGCTCAGACTCTGTAAACACTTTGCTGTCTGATTTTCAGTATTTTTCTCCACCTTTTCCATTTTGGTTACTCCTAGTAGCAATATGTGTTAATGGAGTTCCTCAAAGTTAGTGAGTTCCCAGCAAAACGATCCCACTTCAGCTGAAATGAGCACAAACACAACAGGAATAATGCTGAATGAGAAACATTTTGGAATAGTTTCTCATTTTGAACATGGTGCCAGAAGCATATTTTAAAAGCTGGAATAAAGAAAATGACAAAGTCTCTGTCACTAAAGTTTAGTGGTGTAAAACTGCAAAGGATTGTGGGAGCTTCCTACTGTCTAAGAGGTCCAGAACACAGACCCTGAATCACATGGTGGATATGCAGACTAGATATGATTTAAATTATTTTGACTCTTCTTGTCGAGATCAGACTCTTTGAGGCTGTTGACCTTTTGATCTCTTGAATGTTTTCCCTTTTTAGGGCGGTGCTGGAAGCTAAGATCGTTTTCATGGGACTCAACCTTCACAGTCGGATGTTCCAGCAGTGGAGTTACAAGGTTTGCTCTTTATCCTATTTTTTTTTCATTTATCCTCATTATTTTTGTTGTCTCTCCTCATTTTTGTTGTCCTAATTTTTTTTCTGTTTGTCCCTATCTTTTGTTAACCTAATTTCTGCTTGTTATCCTGATTTTGTTCTTATTTATCCTAATTTTTTGCCGTTTGTGGCAGTCGCGCCACTGTGGGTGCCCCGACAGAGTTCCCTCGAGACCAAAGTTGTTGCTCAACAGGTTTTATTTGAGCGTGTGTGCAGCACTCGCACACACACTCTATTACAGACGCACACACACTCACAATCCCGCCCGGCTTGGGCTCTTTGTGGTTCCAGCGTATGGCCCGTTGTATTCCTGGCTGGTGGCTTGTCTCCAGCTCCAGCTCTCCTCCTAAACCAGTCCTCCCCAGGTCCAGCACGCTACTCTTTTTACAGAGGGGAGCGTGATTAGCCAACCGGTTCCAGGTGTGCTCAATCACTCTCCCCTGGCACTGCTCACCTGAGCCTCCTCCACCCCTCCCCCCTGCAGCTGAGCGCCACGCCCCCTCCACACCGTTTATCCTAATTTTTTCTGTTTATCCTCCATATTGCTATTTATCTAAATGTTTTGCTTTGTATCCTCATTTTTGCTGTTTATTTTTTGGTCTTTGTCCTAATTTATTTGGTGTTTTTCCTCCTTTTCTTGTCTCTAAAGTCTGTGAGGCTCTCATAAGGAAGGGGGGTCAAATCCAATCTGTGTGTAAAGGCGGTTCAGCCCGTTTATCCAGGTCTAACTCACGTTTCCACCAGTCTGCAGGTTTTCCTCGTGGTCTGTGTTTGCTTGAGGATTTGTTGCTTGTGCAGGTGCTGAATAAAAACCAGGTCATCGGTAACGAAGCCATGACGGGACACGAGGAGGAGGAGAGCACGGAGTCTCTGGTCTGCTCCGTCCTGGCGGCCCTGCAGAGTCTGACCCAAAAGCTGGACCTCTCCAAGACGGTCAGTCTCCCACCGTAAATGTTTATGTTTATGCATTTGGCAGACGCTTTTATCCAAAGCGACTTACAGAGTAGACACAATATTACATTTTCTCATCACTATG